CCGTAAATGCATGAAATTATTCTGTTACTGATATAGTATAAAGGAGTTACTTGTCAGTTACGTATATTCTTTCTTACAGAAAATAATATCTAATAATAAACCACAAAATTTGAAGACTTTAATGTTTTTTTTTTAATAGTTGCTGGATAATATTTTAAAAACAAACTATGCTCTTTGTTGTTGCATAGAAAGACCAAATTAATTTTTGTTAATGCAGATGAAATCATAATGTTTTAATGGCTTTTAATCAGTTCAGATATAACTTATCAATAGGTAACAACTATTTATGGAAATGATGGTAAGAGCGTTTCTAAATTCGAAAATGTTGTAGAAACGTGATTTTCTGAAAATTTTTTTTACAAACTGCTCAACTTAAATGTAAAGTTGTCCTTATTACCCTCTTTAAAAAGACCCAGCAAACCGAAATTTCAACAAAATACTTGAAATATTTGTATACTTTTTTAATTTTTAGAACATTCACCTTTTTGTAGTTACCTGAACATAAATTCGTATTACATTTCACTTTGCCATACCAGAGAAATCACGTAAAGTTTTATTTCTGAAATCTTGATAATAGAAATAGAAGAAATTTGTACGATTTTTTTTTACTATTGCTTGTAATAGAACCAGAGATGTGATTTATTTGAAATACTTGCATTTAAAATGCAAATACAAAATAGAAAATACCTATTATTGATATCACCACCTGCCAAAACACCACATATCGTACCTTTAGCAAGAAACTACGAAATTCTATGAATTACAACGAATCAGCCCGCAAAACAATATCGAATTGATTTACGCCAGCTGTGTAAAACTGAAAACTACAGGATATTGTGGTGTGCTAATAAATGCGTATGATCTAAACTTCTCAGAAAACGATTCGAAAAACTTCACTTATTAGATGAACCCAAAGCTGAATAAACTATGGATTCCATTTCTTTATCTTATTACAATGTTTAAAAGATCAGAAACAAAATGGGGTTGTAAATATTTTGATGTAAAATGATTGATGTTTGCATTTTGTATTTAAATACTTTTAAAAAACCATCTTGCACATCTCTAAATAAATCTCTATGTTCTGGTCTTAACTTCAGTTATCAGTAGATATACTGCCTGTGCCTTCGTGAAATAAATGTATATATGTATCTAAAGGTAACATGTAGGTATATTTATTCGAGAAACTTCTACTTCTCTCTACGTTGAAAATTAGAGCCTTATTCGTTGAATCCTTTACAACCCTTGGTAATTTATCCTATTTCATTCGCCGACGCAGTCCAAATCACAAACCTACCTTTTTCCGTGTAATATAGAACTGTCTAGTCTCCCCAGTTCAAGCTTGTTGTGATGATAAAAATATTCCATGCTTTCGTTTACATGCAGGGAATACTAGATGTTATACGCGAGCATGTAGGTGTATATGTTGTAGGGTTGTCTCCTTTTCTCTTTTACTTACAATGCGACCGGGTGATATTCCTACAGGGTTTACATACGCTTGCAATCTAGTTCGTTGCTTTTCATCTTGTTATTAATTTTTAATGCGAACCACGACAGTTTTCTGCTGTGTTAATGTTTTATTAAAAAACCCAGATAAAAGGTGTCTGATTCTGTATATGATATTGAAAGTACGAAAATAATTTTGAAAAAAATGAAATGTAAATATGAAATATTAGTCTGAAAATTCATTTTTGAATTTTTTACCCACTACACGCTACCTTAAATTAATGAGGGAAAAATTGTTGCTGTTGTCACACTCCCGCCGGGGTCCACTTTAGTTTATTGAAAAGCCTACAANTTTTATGAGCGTGGAATTATGCTACTACCAGAAAGATGGCAAAAGGTGTTGGACCAGAACGGTCAATATATAATTTAATAAAGTATTTGTTTATTATACGAAAACTGTCTTTCATTTCCACAACAAAAAACGAAATGACTTTCCGAACAACCGTTTAGTTTTAGGGAAATGCAAAGATTCTGATAATTATGATTTAATTACCATTATTGGCATCATTATCCGGTATCCGACCGGATTATAAAAATGGTGTCGTATCCGATTTTTCATTTTTAACTCGAACTCGTATATTTTCATTCCTTGAAATTATGTATTGTATTTTTCCATAGCGTCCATCTCGTATACCTGCTCTCAATCGTATTACCAATCTAGTTCGAACAGGTTGGTTTATTAAGTTGACAACAACTTCAGCGTCATTATCGGAAAAGTTTGATTGTGCCGATCGACAGTCCTGTGCATTTGAAAACAAATGAAACCATGCATAATTCTGTTTGTTTTTCGATTGGATTCCTTGCATTGCATTCGAACTAAAAAATCATGATGCATGAGTAGAGAATTTATTTTTAAATGAGCGCTGAATTTTTTTCATCAATTTGCCTGTTTACAAATTCAGCATCTCCCCCTTCACATATCTCTCTAAAACACAAATGTATATGCGTGTGCTATTTCTTTTTTCGGTTTGACAAAAGTTTCTGACGCTTCGAAAAATATCAGAATGTCAACATACTCATTAAAGTAAAAAAATCGCGTCTAACAAACTGGCATATATAACAATATAAATCTTGTTGTATATGATAAACTCGGATAGGAAACCCGACTTAATAAAGAGTAGCAAGGAAAATTGTATTCATAAAGTTCAAATGTGTACGTTAGGATAGCCCATTTTTTTCCGACATTCTTTTCAATTTTTTGCTGAGGTTTGTATGTTTTTGATATATTAAAGAGCTTGTCCAATTGTTAACATTAATAAATGATTTCTGAAATTTTCAAGAATTGAGAAACCCCGAAAACGATGAATAATAGAAATATTTTGAGCCGCAGGCTGTATTAAAAAGTATTTCATTCGTAAAATGTGACTTTATGAAAAGTAGTAATTAAAGAGAAAAAGGTAACTTTTTGGTCAAAGAGAACAGTTTCTTATTACGTTAAAAACACAAATTTTCATACAGTAGAAAGTGCATACAAATAAACAAACTTGTTGGTATATAAATGGTTTTCCCTGCAATTTTAGTAAAACGTCTTCTATCAATATCGGTTGAAATTCAAAACATTATTTCTCATTGTGTTCGATCATAATTTATTTGCAAAGAGCATACGTCGTCAGTTCGGCATGTAGTAATGTATTTCTCAGCTGGTTGCCGTGCCCTAATGCTCCCTCAAGCGTGTGCTGCTATTTTCGTTTTATTTGAAATTATGGATTCATTCAAAGTATGTATGAGAAATCCGGAAAATAATGTAAACCGAAGAAAGAAACGAATGTGGGCTGAATGATAAAATTTCATTAAAAAAAAAATTGATTCAAAATAAGTTTTTTTGGAATGGGAACTTCTCTTTATTTGAAATTAGAACCTCGGTTTATGTTCAGTTTTTATTTCGTCTTATTGTATTAATATTAATACTTTCCTTTTGTAATACAGTTTTATTCCCAAAATTGACGTTTCTAATATCATCTTTGTAAATCCTAATTTGTACTTCCAATATTAAAGCAAACTAGGGGTGCCCGCGGCTTCGCCGTCATGGTATTCAGTTTACGTTACGGTAAATTTACAGGTTTTGATATTTTATGGTTAACAGTAACTCATGATTATTATACGGTTTCTTATGCAAACATCAAAAAGAAACAGAGTTCGCAGAAATTACAAACGTTATCTTTTGTGAATAAAAATTCGACATTCGTAAATTTTGAGTATTAACTTTTAACTTTTTTAATTTATTATTTTGATTCGTAATACTGCATTTAGTTTTTAATTTTAAAATGTCATTCAGTATTTTCCTTTTGTCTTACTAGAATTTCCCCTTTTTTCCAAACCAATTAACGATTACTAGCGATTATTTTGAAGAGTAAACTTTATTTACTTTATTTTTCGTTATTCTTCAAATCTTTTTAGGGTTCCGCACTCCCGAATGAAAAACGAAACCCTTATAGGATGACTAGTGTGTCTGTCTGTCCGTTTTTTAATAACCCCGAACCGTATTCGTAACCGTGAAAGTCACAATCCTTGCATCACTACTTATAATATTAATATATCGTACATTGCATTAAGTTTATTTGAATTATTTTAGCAGTTAAACATTAATACTCATATATCAAAATACATGTAATCGAAATTATAAGTGTTTTTGATTTACAGTTATTTATTTGGGTCAGTAGTTTCACAAAAACTAAAGAAGGACTAAAAACTAAAACTTTAATTATTCACGTAGAGTTGGGGTAGGACACTAATCACTACATAGTATAAAACAAAGTCGCTTCCCCGCTGTCTGTCCCTATGTATGCTGAAATCTTTAAAACCACGCAACGGATTTTGTTGCGGTTTTTTTTAAAAGATAGAGTGGTTCAAGAGGAAGGTTGATATGTATAATACTTGCATAATATAGTAGGGAAACACTGATAATTTTAGAGGTTTCTAATGTTACGTCGTAAATAAACACATTTTTTGCGCTTACATTGCAAACGCTGGCTGAATCCTACGAGATAGATCAAAATCTACAAAAAAGTCCGTGATGGTATCTGTCTATCTCTGAGGGATAACCCACAATAACCATTTTTATCCTTTACTTTTTATGAGAAATAATGACTTATTTACGAAGCGATTGTAGGCAATACAGCATTAATTCTTATCCAATTAAGTACCTTAAATACATTGTGCATTTAATATAGATCAATATGGCCCTTTACAGCATGCAATTTAAATGAATATTTTCGAAGTTATTACAGATTTAAAATGCAAACATAGCGGTTGCGGCGGTACCGACCGGAAGGCCGGTTTGTATTGTCTAATGACAAAAAAACTGTGAATGTTGTATATAAAGACATTCTGTAGTATATTTAGTATGTTCAGGAGGTATCTTTTGAAGATTTCCCCTTTTCGATAATAATCTAAACAAAACAAAAATATATTTAGTATCAGCATTGCACCCGTGCGAAGCTGAGGCGGGTCACTAGTATTAAATAAGAGGATTAAAGTAGAAAAATGTAGGTACTTACTTGAGGTTAAAATTGCTGGGGACGTTGTTGAGTTGCATTTTGAGAGACCTTAGAGCGGAATTCCTGGTTTCACGGGCTATATTTTGGGGCGTTTGCGTGCCCTGGTCCCTTTTGTTCACCTGCCCGCTGATATTCGAAGCATTTCCCCCATTTAGGCATATTCTAGAATGTGAAGTGTTTATTGGAATGTTATTGCCACCGGGTCTAAAATGAAAAAAGGTATGAGCGATGTCGTAGGAATGGTGCGTACAACGGTAGGCGTTAGATAGATGGTTATTAAATTTTATTGTTTTTGTATATATATATATATATATATATACAGGTAGATTCGGTTTATGGCGTCCCAGATATCTCATTTTTCCCCAACTGAAGTTATCATTCACAATTTCACACTCCCAATGCGCACATTTCTTTTTGTTTATTGAATTTTTGCCCTTTATATTGTGTTTTGAATTGAACAAGAAAACCATAAAAAATGTCTTATCCTTTATTCCTGTATTACATTTCCGAAAATAAAAACGAAATATGATTGATAGGTAAATTGTAAAAGGGTGAAAGTTGATTTAAGAAAGTGCTCGTAGGTAGGTACATGATTATATAACATTTTCGTAAAAAATAGTTACAACGAGAATTAAGAATAAGTTCAGGAAGATTTCTTCGAAGAACTTAAGCGAACAAATGGTCTATTATACAAGAACGATTTTTACCATTGTTCCATTATATTTCTCCGTCAAACAGGCAACCGCTTTCAAAGTTGAGTGAAATTTTGTGTAGACATTTGTAAGTACATAAGTATTTATATGTGACCTGTTTTGTTCAAAACAGTGATCCCAATTCGTAAATGTCCTAGCCGTATTGCTTACAAGACGTGGAAAATAAAAGAAAATGAAGAAAATAAAGAAAGAAATGCTTCCCTTGTATTACATAAAGATTATCGCAGTGGTCTATTATGCATTACCGTCATGAATAATGATTATAAAGGCTGAAAATACACCGATTTCTCACAAATTCCAACTAAAGTAAAATATAACTCATATTTAATGTTAAATCTGCTGGTCAGATATGTATTAGCCCTCGGATACCGTTAATATGATGATTTTTTTAATAGGTTTTCAGGATAGGCTTACATTTAAATTTTTTTTGTTGTTAGGGTAGGTCGTGCTTTCGGAGAAACACGGTAGTTACCCTTTCAAAAACATAATTTCTAAGTATACATTTTTGTATTAATTAAATATTATATGGACAATAAACTTTGATGTATGGAATTTTTGCAATTTTTAAAGCCGCAAAATTTTTAAAGAACATAAATTTAAACTAATTTCAATAAACAGAGTTCAAATATATAAATCAATCCTTCCTGGAAAAATCGTATTTACTTCAAGTTATAAAGTTGAAATAATTTGAATTATCCTTTGATTCATTGGAAGGAATCGGTGAACAAATTTCGAGTTAATCATCAGTTTCTGCCGTATGATGTAGAAAATTTAGTTCTTTACGAAAGCAAGAATTAATTTGAAAACTTCATACTGTGTATTACAATCATTTTTCTTGACTTCGAATTTCTGACGATAATAAAATTATGTTCTAAATGTGTAAAATGTTTCGACAAAAGCCTGGTGTAATTATTACAATCCGTGATTTAGAAACTTAGCAAGCAGTCTCGCATTATGGTCTAACGATAAGAGTTACTCCGGAAGTTGGTTGTTAGTTCGTAAAGGAACTGGTTTTCCGCATTGTTCTATTTGCTTTCGTAAGAAAATTTCTGCCGGATAATTTCTAATTTAGTCAAGAAAAGAAGTTTTTTTATAATACATAAAGACCAATATTTACTACCAAAGATCATCCCTTACAAACTTGTAAGGTACTTTATTAATGTTTCGATACAAAGAAAATTTAACACTATCAAAATACTTACAATTGATATATTTTTCATCTGTATTGCATACATAACCATCATTCATTTTCCAATTAAAAATATTAACATTTTAAAATAATCATTGGCTATTATGATAACGTTTAGTTATTTAACGAAATGTCATGCTCTGCAAATACGTATGTATTGTATACTTTGACTTTTTTATTCGAAAATGTCCGAAATTTTGCTTTGTGAACATGATAAATATTGCAATGTATTTTAATGGAATCATGGTGGTACAGTGTTATTACTAAAATGTGGTGGTTAATAACGGAATTAATTAAAATTGCTTTATGAAATCTATTGTCAAAACACATTTGTGAATGTAGATATATACATATACATATGGTAATCGTAGTTTCTATTATTATACCATAGTGCTGGCCAATTTTTTTTTGTTTCTTTTCCATTTAAAATAATATTGTCAATGCATTCCCGTAAATGCATGAAATTATTCTGTTACTGATATAGTATAAAGGAGTTACTTGTCAGTTACGTATATTCTTTCTTACAGAAAATAATATCTAATAATAAACCACAAAATTTGAAGACTTTAATGTTTTTTTTTTAATAGTTGCTGGATAATATTTTAAAAACAAACTATGCTCTTTGTTGTTGCATAGAAAGACCAAATTAATTTTTGTTAATGCAGATGAAATCATAATGTTTTAATGGCTTTTAATCAGTTCAGATATAACTTATCAATAGGTAACAACTATTTATGGAAATGATGGTAAGAGCGTTTCTAAATTCGAAAATGTTGTAGAAACGTGATTTTCTGAAAATTTTTTTTACAAACTGCTCAACTTAAATGTAAAGTTGTCCTTATTACCCTCTTTAAAAAGACCCAGCAAACCGAAATTTCAACAAAATACTTGAAATATTTGTATACTTTTTTAATTTTTAGAACATTCACCTTTTTGTAGTTACCTGAACATAAATTCGTATTACATTTCACTTTGCCATACCAGAGAAATCACGTAAAGTTTTATTTCTGAAATCTTGATAATAGAAATAGAAGAAATTTGTACGATTTTTTTTTACTATTGCTTGTAATAGAACCAGAGATGTGATTTATTTGAAATACTTGCATTTAAAATGCAAATACAAAATAGAAAATACCTATTATTGATATCACCACCTGCCAAAACACCACATATCGTACCTTTAGCAAGAAACTACGAAATTCTGTGAATTACAACGAATCAGCCCGCAAAACAATATCGAATTGATATACGCCAGCTGTGTAAAACTGAAAACTACAGGATATTGTGGTGTGCTAATAAATGCGTATGATCTAAACTTCTCAGAAAACGATTCGAAAAACTTCACTTATTAGATGAACCCAAAGCTGAATAAACTATGGATTCCATTTCTTTATCTTATTACAATGTTTAAAAGATCAGAAACAAAATGGGGTTGTAAATATTTTGATGTAAAATGATTGATGTTTGCATTTTGTATTTAAATACTTTTAAAAAACCATCTTGCACATCTCTAAATAAATCTCTATGTTCTGGTCTTAACTTCAGTTATCAGTAGATATACTGCCTGTGCCTTCGTGAAATAAATGTATATATGTATCTAAAGGTAACATGTAGGTATATTTATTCGAGAAACTTCTACTTCTCTCTACGTTGAAAATTAGAGCCTTATTCGTTGAATCCTTTACAACCCTTGGTAATTTATCCTATTTCATTCGCCGACGCAGTCCAAATCACAAACCTACCTTTTTCCGTGTAATATAGAACTGTCTAGTCTCCCCAGTTCAAGCTTGTTGTGATGATAAAAATATTCCATGCTTTCGTTTACATGCAGGGAATACTAGATGTTATACGCGAGCATGTAGGTGTATATGTTGTAGGGTTGTCTCCTTTTCTCTTTTACTTACAATGCGACCGGGTGATATTCCTACAGGGTTTACATACGCTTGCAATCTAGTTCGTTGCTTTTCATCTTGTTATTAATTTTTAATGCGAACCACGACAGTTTTCTGCTGTGTTAATGTTTTATTAAAAAACCCAGATAAAAGGTGTCTGATTCTGTATATGATATTGAAAGTACGAAAATAATTTTGAAAAAAATGAAATGTAAATATGAAATATTAGTCTGAAAATTCATTTTTGAATTTTTTACCCACTACACGCTACCTTAAATTAATGAGGGAAAAATTGTTGCTGTTCATATTAAACTAACTCACTTCTAAAAGTTGTCTAAAATTGTATGTATGTTTAATCGTAGTATATTCAGATATAGTCACATTAGTCCGACGGATCATTAACCTTGTAGGTCGGTTGGCCGTTGTTGCTGTTGTCACCTCTCGTAGTTTAGAGGTCAGAACATTGGTGCGTAAAGCCAAAGGTCCCGGGTTCGATTCCCGGCGGGGGTGTGACAACAGCAACAATTTTTCCCTCATTAATTTGAGGTAGCGTGTAGTGGGTAAAAAATTCAGAAATGAATTTTCAGAATAATATTTCATATTAAACTAACTCACTTCTAAAAGATATCTAAATTATATGTATGTTTAATCATAGTATATTCAGTATATAGTTACATTAGTTCGACGGATCGTTAACCTTGTAGGTCGGTTGGTCGTGGTTGTTGTTGTCACCTCTCGTAGTTTAGTGGTCAGAACATTGGTGCGTAAAGCCAAAGGTCCCGGGTTCGATTCCCGGCGGGGGTGTGACAACA